ATATACATGGTTTTAAAAGATATCATACAGGAATATGGTTTGCAAAATATGATTCGAAATTTTACTTTTGATAATACTAATGTGAACAAAGATGTTATCGAAAGATTTATTAATGAACTTAACCCTTCATTTGGAACTTTATTTTTTATTAACGTTGTGTATGTCACATTATCCATTTAATTGTAAAAGCTGGATTAAAACATATAAGTTCTCCTTTAGATAAAATTAGACAAACAATAAATTTTATTACCATGTCACCAGCAAGGAAACAAGCATTTAACAATTTGTGTGCAATGTATGGCTTACAGGAGAAATCATTTGTCACTAATGTAACATATAGATGGAATTCTACATATCTTATGTTACATTCGTGTGAAAATCACGATAAAGTGGTTTCATTATATTATAATGGTAGGCTACATACGGACCCAAACATAATTTAGAAGATTGGGAATGGCCTCTTGCATTTCACGTGAAAAAAAGTTTAAAATTTTTAGTGGAGTTTATTACCTTACAGCTTCACTTGTTTTACAATATTTATTCTACATTTCACAAACATTTTATAAATATAGGAATTTGCCCTTTTTCTGATTTAGTTTGTTCTATTGAGTTAAAATTTCGTAAATATTGAGAAGAATTGCCCTCTTTATTTATTTTAACTTCAGTAATGGACCCTCGACTTAATTTGAATGGCACAATAGTCACTGTAAAGGGGATTTCAAATTTTATGAATGTGGAATTATCACATGTGAATATAAAATCTACGTTATCTGAAATGTATAATTATTATGCTGATGAAGAAGGCCAGTGTAGTTCTACTTCCCAAAATTCTTTTTCAAGAAATATTTCAACAAATTCAGATAATTTGCGAATTTTTTTGGAAAGCAATACAAGCGTTCCCTTATTTAGTTTTAGTTCATCAATGTCTAGAGCAATAAATATCGGTGATACAAATTTTGAAATTCCCTCTGAGTTAGCTAGGTATATGTGCGGGACGTTCGCAATGTGTTACCTGAAAAAGAATTACAGAAATTCAGTCTTCTAAATTGGTGAAGGTGTAATGGAAGATAGTATCCAATTGTATCAAAAATTGCATGTAATCTATTAACACCTCCGGTATCTACGGTAGTATTGAAGGCTGCATTCAATTTAGGTGGTCGAATTTTATCAGACAAACGTTCAAGACTAAAAGAAGATATATTGGATACTTTAATATGCTTGAAGGATTGGAAATGTGCAGAATCACGTGTTCAAGAACATGTTGACAGTATACTGGCCAAAGAGTTGTAGCAGATCCAAACATAAAATTTTGTAAGTTTTTAAAATAATTTATTTCAAAACAATATGTAATTTTTAAATTTATTTGTGTCAAGAAAAATTGTACACAAAATATTTTATTCGTGTACAATTTTAATTCTGTCTACGTCATGTAGCCGGTCCCAAGCTCGTTTAAAAAAGCTCGATCCGAACCCGAGCCTCGAGTTTCGGCTCGGCTCGGCTTGACTTGGCTTGTTGACATCCCTAGGTGAAGTGAGGATGATTGAAGTGGGATGGGGAGGAAAATAAAGTTTTAGAGGTTTGGAATTATTGTTAGCACGAATAAAAAATTTGGATATAATTTATAAGAGAGTAAAAAGTTAAGATACAGCAACTGCAATTATTTTTACTTAATTTTGACATTTTTTTACATTTTTAAGGTTAAACTAACGAATCTTGATAGCAGTAGGTATTTCTAACAAAAGGTCTCAAATAGGGACATTTTTTGTGATTTTCAAAAGGTAATGGGGTATATCGCATTAGGAAGAGGAGGGGGAGAAGTTTCTGCTATTAATCATTTTTTAAATGGATGGATATGATATATGTCAAGTGTGAAGTTTTAAAGAAAATTGTAAAGTAGTATGATGGTATGAAATTTGTTTTTGGTTGGGGGTATATGAATGAATGGATGGTGTAAATTTGCTTTGTCATGAGTAATTGAGTTTTCATTTTATTTATTGAATATTATATTTATTTATGGTGCTAGCTTGTTATATCTTTTCTAAATTATAATTTGTGATTATTGATTAGATGTTATAATTGTTACATTTCAGAATTATCCATTTAGCTGCCCAAACCCATTTAAAGTATCCAGTCCTTCTAGGCTACATACTACCGTCCAGGAATTTATCCTGGAAAAAAATGACGGTCAACGGTTGTCTTAGCTCACTCGAATTCATAGATCCGCCACTCATCGCAAATATAAAACCATATGTTGAACAATGTTCCCACCATTATCACCACTAGCTACCGGGGACGGATCTAAGCACGGGCTAGCCCAAACTATAGCCCGTGCTCGCCTAGCCCAGATCCAGTAAGTTCTGTGATTTTATCTTCTCAAACTCAGCGCATGTTCATTTAGTAAAGTAGCTTGTGTCCAAATTTAAATAATCAATTGCTCTAACCCAAAGACAATTTTATAACCCAGAAGAAACAATTAAATTATTTGCCCAATTCCAAAACCCCAAATTAATATTCATTTGATCTCTCTCTACAGCTTCATGAGTAAACCCTTTTTCTAATCAATTTCAAAGACTCCAACTCACCTCCCTCCATCTCCATTCTCTGAAATTTGAATCGTCTTCTCCAGGTAGCTATTTATTTTTATTGTGGTTTTATATATACGGTATCAATTGCATATTTATTCCGTAGCAATTGGTTCGCGAGTTTTTAATTTAATCATGTTCTTCTTTATGATATGGCTTTTGAGGATTTGTGTATTATAATCAAATATATTAATATAATTTGCCTCTTAAAATCGTGGGACAAGGTTTTGGTCAGTTAGGTTGATTGATTTTCTAATTTCTATAGGTTGCAGTTGCTTTTTTTTTTTTTTTTTTCACGATTATGGAGAAAAATTGGTTGAGTTACTCACTGAACAGTGATCACAATAGTAATTAAATTTTTTATTTTTTTTTTCTAAATTTCTTCTAAAAATGTTTTTAGTTTTTAATTTTCAGTATATCCACTATTTTCTACATACGTCTCAATTTTTACTTTCTATTTTTTCTTTTAAATTGTTTTCTTCTAATTGTAATTTTATTTTGCAATAATAGTGTCTGCACTACTTAGCTAAACCTTCATTTCGAAATTCAAATTCGAAGGTGCAGATGTGTAGTGGCGTAGGAAAAGGTTGAAATTTGAGTATAGTCTTCTAGTGAGTAAATGTCCTCACTCCTCATTTCACTATTTGTGGTCTTGTCGGCAATATTGAAAGTGAACAATATTGTCTTGTCGGCTTAATGAGTTGTTTTTGTTGCTTGTTGGTTTAATGAATTGTTTTTGATGCATTGTTACCTTAACAAATTATTTTTGAATTCCGAAATTGCAATAAATTTTCAAGGCACAAATGCAGTCCCGCAGACATGTAGGAAAAGCAAAAACTTGAATAAGAAAATGTCCTCATCTATCTACTTATTGACTTGCCAACAAAATATTGAAATTGAATGTTGTTGTCTACTTATCTAAGTTGTCTTGATGGTAAATTAGTTAATTAATTATTGTTGAAATGTTGGCTTGATGACGACATGTTGTTAGTCTGTTGCCTTGTTAATGATTGTTGTTGTTGTCTTGTCGGCCCAATGATTTATTTTTGTTGCTGTGTCAGCTTAACAAATTATTTTTTGATTGTTGTTGGAGTAATATCCTTGATGATTTCTTTATTTTTATTTTTTTGCAATTTTTAGAAATTGAAAATGGAAGGTTAACCTCCTCTCAAGAATAATAAGAATTTGTTTTCCTTCTTCAAAGGGTAGATCGGCCTACTAAAAGTACAACTTCCAATGTATTAACTAAAGATCAACCTTTATTATATTGACTTTTAAATTTTAGTCTGCGCACCAAAAATTCCTAAATCCGCCCCTGCCTTCTACCGCATCCAATTGGGTCAAATTTCTTCTATCTCAAGTATCAGCACTTCTTTTGCCCAATTAGAACAATTTTCTCAACTCAATGACCAGCGTGTACATTCACAATCCAATTTCACATAGTAACACACTATTACGATCCAGTAACGTATTGCATTACTATCACTTTCATCATTCGAATCTATCTCCACTTCACCTACCACCATCACAACACCATTATTTTGCGACACGGGTCCACAAACCATATCCGCTTAGTGACTAATGTAACACAGTATGTTACTTAAATATAAAATATCGTCTTACCACTTCATAACCTGATCGATCCAAACTAAAAACAACCTACACGTCGCCAATTGACGCCTTTGACGACCACCATCTAAACAACCTACAACGATGAAATCTGTATGATCCTTCTAGATGTGGATTTGGAGTAGCACAGATCCATACCTTTTGGCGAATGCCGTAGCGCAGCTTGACAGCCATTATAGCAGTTCAACAATAGCAACCTCAGAATTATATACTTGAATTTGAATAAAAACCAATTGAATCACCGTTTGAAGCAATGGACATGAATCCAAGAAAGTCAATGTGGATTTGAAAAATTGATGAGAGAAAGGTTCAAAATTAATTTCTTATATTCTGTCTTTGGAATGGTAAATAAGCATGTTTAAAAAGTTCACAATAATAGAAAATATAGGTATTTTTAAAAGTCTATTATTTTTTTGACAGAAAAAAAGTTTTTATTTAGATATCGGATAAAAAGCAAAACTTTTTCTTGTTTTTTTTTTATTTTTTTTATTTTTTATTTTTTTTTATTAAAGAAGAATTATCCCTTTGTTGCTTTTGACATGCATGTAGACTGGATGTGCTTTAGAGTCCATAAGACATGCCCAAATTCTGGACCCCTTGTACATGGTGACTCTACAAGATTGTCTTGTGAAAAATATATACGGCGAAACACATGTTACAATAGTTGGAGCAAACGATCGGGAGCTACCCTTTTAAAAACCATTTTCCATTCAAAGAGATTCATACATCATCTCTCTTTTTTGCCACAATTCCAAGTCTCACTCTTACATGCACGTTGCGCCATAATCGAAAAGAATATTTAGTACACAATATTTGATATTAAACAGAACAATAAACAATATTTTAATGATGTTTTCCCCTAAACAAAGGCGAGCCAAATCCCGCTTCAAAAGATCTCGGGGTGACGAGAGAATCTTTCATTATTAGAAGCTTTGGAAAGGATCCTTAGAAAAAGAACTTCTACAATAAGACCATAGAGTTAGTAGAATGTGTATCCCCTTGTCTTAGCACCTTCCTTCCGGCGAACAGCCTTAAACGCCCCTCTTGATGGGGACCAGTGCTTGGCGGTGGATGATACAAACCACAATTCACTCGATCAGTTTTCAAAATCACCCACTTACTACTACTACACATGCTAAAAGTGGTTACTTTTTCTCGTTGCCTTGTGATTCAGAGTAGTTGCTTGGGGATAACCTAGTAAAGTTACCAACAAAAGAGCCACTAACGAGGTATTGAAAATAATTCATATAGTGGACTTCAAATTTGCAAGACGTGGATTCATATATCATAATAAATATTTGAAATTCCCTTTCCAGGATTTTGTCTTGCTTGCATCAAGAAACATTATTGATCAAAAAATCACTCTTCCGTTGATTTGACATTACTTTTTATGCAGGCACCTGCTTGGAATAATTCTGATGCATTATTTACAAGCATGTGACTAGATCATAAAGTGGGTCATGCCAAAAAAATATAAAAATAAAAATAAATTCAGCTCGTGGGCCAATGAAAAGAAACTTTTTTATTTAAAAATATGAAAAAAGAAGAAAATAAACATCAATGGCAAAATTTTGAGCAAACGCCGTGACGGGTAAGCACCTTTACGATTGACTATACAAAAAGCTTGTTAAGCTCTTGTTTGAACCCCATTTTTCTATCAAAATACATTTCCAAATAGTGATTTAACCTCATTTACACGTTCTTCAATAAAATAATACTAAACATAAACTCAAAACTTTTCCTTATTTTTTGACCACACATTCTTCATCTTAACACTATCACAAAATGTATTTTTATGAAAAGAATAGGGCTCAAACAACACCTAAATAACACATTATCGAGTTCGACTACGTGATTGGTAAAATATGCTTGATATAAGAAAGTCATTTCACACCATAGAAGAAAACAAAGTACCTATGATTTCAATACAGCCTAGATGTGCTAAACACAATAAACCAAATGTTGCAAACATATATATTTCTGAAAAAAAAATTACGACTTCTCTAACAAATGGAGATTGTAGCAATAGATATAAAGATTTATTGACACCTTGCTCAAATAATCAAATATCGTATCTTGTACCTTAAAATTCTTCTACTCTGATGGCATCACGAGGCATTTCGTAGGCATCTTTGGCCCTCGATTTCTTTACACCAGCCGTGAACCACACTTTATCTGACTTGTAACTTTCAACATTGACACCGGTAACTTTGACCCAAACCAAAACCTTAGTTTTCATTCCTTCAATTCCCGAGAGCTTCCCCCTCGATAATGTCCCTTTGACACGAGTTGAATACCTTACAACGGACGAATCCTTGAAGCAGATCTCACTTGGATAGGGCATGTAGACGACGAGCTTCGCCTTCAACTCATCAAACTCGTAACATGTTATGTTCTGAGGAAAGAGGCCGGGAGGAAGATTGTATTCTCGTAGGAGATCGGCCAATGACTTCAACGGTTTCCCTTCAAAAGGATAAGTTTGAAAACGCCATATTAAAATCCGGATGGTCAAAAATATAATCCCAAGTTCGATTAAGAAGTGGAACTTATTTTCTTCCATCTGTGACCTACTTGTGAGTAAAAAATTTAAGCTAAGCAAAACAGAATAGATTTGATATTGACTTCATATTTAAGCTTTCAGTTAAAATATGTAGCATCTACACGAGCTTTACAGCGTACCTTTGAGCTTGTTGAAGATCCATTTTGCCTTCTCTTCAACAGTGCTCGACAACGTCTGGAATGAAACGATATCAATCCAAAGAAACAAATTTATACATTTCAAGTCCATTTGATGCCAAAACATGTCAGTAGTTCATTACAGCAATAAAATCCATATGCATTGTTACTCAAATATCAAAAATCTCTGCTGCAAAACGTCGCATAAATAAACTGGAGAAGGAACTACTAATTAATGGCAGATCAAAACTCTGTATGTTCTTTTCTTTTCTTTTTTCTTTTTTTCGTATGATTAAGCAGGGTTTCCCATATGCATATCAGAGAACCCGTCTTCAGAATATCTGTAACGCTTAAAGGTATGAAATTTTTATATATTATGCACATTCGTCTTCACAACTCGTAAGAATAGAAAGAAAATATCATGATCAACTACGAAAACAACACACACACACATATATATATGAAGATAAATCATCCTAGACAGAATTTTTCATCAGCCCATGTTCTGATGCACGTGAAATTATGGCTGAAGACATCATGGACCCGAGGGTGCATCTAGTAGGGTTTTAGAGGAAATGGTGGGCAATGGCTGCCCCACCCGGTATGTTTTTCATAGTAGCCTTTGACCAAGTTATTTGTTAAAAAAAAAAAAAAAAAAAAAAAAAAAATGTAAACAAAATGTGTAGGGTCGAAAATACCCTCATTTAGAGGAAAGAAGAGAAGAGAAAATAGAGAGAAAAAAGAAAAGAAAAAAGGGAAAAATCAGCTACCGACCGTCGACGTCGCCTACGGACTGCTCGGACCTCATCAACTTCGACCAAGACCAGAGCCACCTCGGATTCGCCGGAGACCGTCATTTTCTTGAAGGTTAGACATGTTTTCTATAAATAACTACTTTGAATTTGTGAAAGTTTGAATGTTTAGGATATGAATATGGGTTAAATTCATGTTTTTATGGTTAAAATGTAAGAAAATATCGAATTTGAGGTTAAAATGTTGAAAAAGAGTGAAAAAAAGGGACGGAGCT